AACCGAGATCTTAACCTTGTCAAGTATAGGATAATCTGCAGGTGGCATATCACACTTGTCCTGAAATTCCTCCTTGGAGTAAGCCTTGCCATCTCCGAATACTGAATGAAACTGTCTGTTCAGTATGTCTGCTTGCTCTTTAGGGTCGGATACAAGACGACCTCCGTCCCTTAAGGCAGCGATGCCAACATTAGACGATTTCTGATGTTTTATATACGTCCAGAACTTCTTGTTTTATCCCCTGACCAGATTCGTCTTCTACAAAGATGCTATCCAGGTAGGACCAGTAAGCTCTTCGCAACTGCCGCTGCACTTCTCTACGGAGTTTCTTATACTGGTTCTTAAGATCTTGTGTTCCACGTTTACGCATCTTCTTGTAGATGCGATCCCTTCTCTTGATAAGGCGGTGGAGAGCTGGAGTTATCCAGGGCTTATTTTCCTTCATCCGGACCAGCTTATGGGGGATAAACTCTTGGACGGCTGTCTGAAGACTGTCTTTGAAGGTGGACCACAACTCTTCAGTTGTAGCAGTGTCTTTCATTAGCTCCATCCTGTCAGTTAGATCGGCCATAGACTTCCTGATACTATCCCAGTCTGCCTTCTTGTAGAGGGGTAGGAGTCTTGGATTCTGTTTCCTCTTCTGGGGGTGGACGATCACCTCACAGAAGACTGCGTCGTGGTCGGAAAGACCTGGTAAGACCTCTACTCGTGGGATCAACTGAGGGTTGTTTGTAACGACCAAATCCAGAATGTTCTCTCCCCTTGTTGGCATGTCCACCAGTTGCTCCAAGCCGTGATCACCAAGTATGTCGATGAACATATTATGAAGTCCAGGGTATCGGGGGTTCGGCTTCATCTGCATCGTTGTCCAATCCCAACAAGGTAAGTTCATATCCCCTCCAATCAAGAGGTGAGCGTTAGGGATCTGCGCTGCTTTGCTGACTGAGGCGTTAAAACCTTCTAGACTGGCTCGATCTGATACATCAGGCCTGTAATAGGCACAGACATACAGGGTCTTGCGACCTTGTAACTTCACCCTAACCCAAATTACCTCACAGTTATCCACCTGCAGCTCTGGTACATCACTGCTTTTGAGCGTTGTGCGTACTGCCACAATTACCCCCACCACCATTCTTGTTACGATCCCTACGATATGCCCTATATGTGTCCGGAAGTATCTCAGAATCATACACAGTAGCGTCTAACCAAGTCTCAGTGGCAATGATAATGTCAGGTCTCACACTGTCAATCATGTTCAGGATGTCCGCTTTCTTACCAGGTGATGACTGCAGGTTTAAGTTCACCAATCTAAGAGGCCTTTTCATTTGTTTATCCTGTTGATTTATTCTTGTTGGAGTAGATGAGTGAAGTGGGCGTTTCATTTGAAGCTCGGTAGGAGTCGAACAAGAATTTATGGAGGCATCTGAATGTGTCATCCCTGACTGTGATTCTTGCTCTACTCCATATAAGTCAAAAACTGTCTTACTGATCGGGTTCCCACAGATGGCACAGTGCCAGGAGAAGTTGTCTCCGAGATCCTCATGGTGCTGGTAAAGTTCTGTATCCATGCTCTGGCAGTGGGCATGAAACCACTGTCCACAGGTGTCACAAGCCAGTCCTCTGTCGTCCCAGCCCACTGTCCGGTCACAGGTTCCACACATCCAAGATGAGTGAGTCTGGGAGCCAACAGGAGCTCCGTGTACAGCTTCCTCGGGGCCTGGGTTGGGTTCTGGTGCGTAGGAATTACTTAGTAAAATGCTGGCAAGATACAAGAGGACAAGTCGTTGTCTACAGAAGCTTGGGAGGGTAGCAGACTTCCGGGTCGACGAACGAGTGATGGACTCCACTAAGGCACAGTATGAGACACCCATAATACGGAACAAAGTCTTGTCAGAGAAACTAACTGCGTCCAAGATCACATCCTCGGGTGAAGTTGCATCAGCTTTGAAGGTTTTGTAACTGAAGACGATGATAACGATCGCAGAGAGTGTAATGTTGGCTGAGAACATATTTCAAAAGCTTCACTGGGGTTTTTCCTCAAAAATAGTCTCTAATTAAGAAAATTCCATATACTAGATTCCAATTCAGGATGTCGCAGTCTTCTAGAGGTCACAAAACAAATAGTATAACAAAAGAAAAACGTCTATAAACTCAAAAATAAAGATCATCCGAGTGGGAGGGGGGCGTCATGCCTTGACATCCAGTCTACGATATCTCTCCCTAACTAATAAACAAAAATCAAAAATGGAAACAAAAAAGGACTCTAAACCCTATCTACTACTCATCTGATGCACATGATGGCCTCTGGAATCCTCCCCCGCTGAGGATTAGGATGGATTTAAATCCCCAGGGCTGGAGGATCCAAAAAGGCGGCCATCTTGGCTGGTGACCTCTGACCTCCCCGATGATTAATGATGATGATAATGGGGTCAACAAATGAGTTAAGTGGCCCACAATTTGCTTATGTTTATGTAAGAATTTAAAATCCCTAGACAATAAAAGCCTCAGGGGTACATCTGCTACATATCACTACATGATTAGGCAATCTGTAATAACCGTTCACCCATTAAATATGCTTCATCGAAAGTCAGGATCCGGAGACGCGCAGGCCTGTACATGTATCATTGTATGCGATATATGAAACATGTAGCTAAGTCACTGTTACTAAGTTTGGGACTGTAAAATGTCACAGAACGGGCCAAATGGCCAATTTATACTGTCTAAAGACAATCCGTCGTTAATACAGTCGTGTACATTTCGTTATTCTTCCATGTGGTGCATTTACACCTGGTGATGACTTTGTTACAATTACAAAGTTTTGGTGGGGCGATATAATATTTTTTCTTTAATTCATGGTTGAAGAAAGTCCATCAAATAGATTGTATCAACACGTCGACGACCTGTTTGTATGTTTTGTTTACCAACCACAATGCTACTGTTTATCTACTCAAACTTTTACTTTTATGGTCCCTTAACACTTCCAAGCAACCGTGGCGAAAATTTAGGTCACTCATGCATATATATAAAACGCCTTTAATATGTAAAAAAAATATCCAATGGAATTAAATAATTGCTGGTTCTCTCTGCCTCGGTAGAAGGGTATGGATGAAAATGTTGCGTTGTGTTACAGAAGACAATCTTGTCTAATCGGGACTAGGACGCATAACGGGGCACACATCCATAAGAAGGTACGTCAACTTCTGTTACAAAAGCAACTACGATACACATAAATATACTCTCTACTTTGGATACTCTAGATCTCCTACTTTTCTTTGCCACATACCGATCGTAGTTTGAAATACACAGTGATCAAAGAATTCTAAGCTACTTAAGTTCTGCACTAATCAGCAAAGTTTTCAAAGTTTTTACTGTACTCTAGACGACAGAGACTCTCAGCGGCACATCGCTCACGAATATACTAGTATTCATTCTGTTCCTGCCTCGCGATTGAAGAAAATTATCCTCCACGGGGTCGGTTGGAGATAAAGGTTGTTTATTCCCAGCCGACACAGCGCTGCGTTCACTGCACACACGTACTAACATAGCACAACTCACCCGCGGCGCAAGGGGAAAACCTGGAGACGGCGATAGCGAGAAGAAGCGGCAGTAGAAACGTCTCGAAGCGGGGAGCCATCCCGCACAGCGCCCGACTTTTCCTCGTCGTTACAACGTCAGTTACGTCCCGCTTTTTTAAGTCTCCTAAACCACAACCGATCCAAGTCCCGAGAGAAAGCACTTCTAAAGCCGCGGAGCAAGTGTCCTGGGCGTTGCCCCAGTAAGGGGGCAGTTGACATGTGATAAATGTTCTTTCTAGAGCAAACATGGGCGGATCCTTAATAACGGGCCGACTCTGTATTTGCTGAACGTACAACAAAAGTGGGCCTGTGTTGACTTTGGGGCGTGCCTACACGTCACCGCCTAATTGTTGACATGGCGCTAAAACCGTCATTGTGTCTTCTAAAGAATGTGTGGTTAAGGGCGATACGCTGGGTCAATGCGCACGTGTTAACTTCTGCGTCAAGGACCGGCTATAAAAGCCTTCGTGCCACAGAAATGACTCTTCTGCCCACACGTATAAATCAATCGTGTTAAAGCGATATGGGAAAGGCTCACGCCCTGAGAAGCGAAGAATGCGGTTTATCTTGAGGTGGCCTGGGTGTGTCGATAGGGCAAAGGGCGTTTCTTTCACACGGCAATGATTAGAAATAACTATGTGCTTGGGTCATTAGTTTATGGCTTATCAACTCAACATTTCGCACCCGAACAACTTAGGATCGCATTTATAATGATAGGAATTGCCCCAAGTGGCCCCGAACAACTTAGGACCGCATTTATAAAGATAGAAATTGCCCTAAGTGCTGGCCTTGAGATTGAAAGATAGTGTCATATTTGTACAGCTTTCTAAGATGAACTGTGGCAAGAACAAGACACAGTACTGTAGACCGTACCGCTCAACAGATAACATTTCACTTCACTTTTTTTTCTTATGGAAATGTATCAAGACCAATTCAACAGAAAATGTACTTACCGCAGAAGGATTCGTTCCTCCAAGAATCAACCGTGATTCCGAACGCGTGGCAGGCTGCGACGTAGGCCTCTACGTTCTCACAGAGCCGCTGGAGGTCGCCGTCGTACGCGCAGACGTCATAGACGCAGCTTTCGTAAAACTGAGTCGCGTTCACGACGCCGTGACAGGCCTGGAAGTCGTTCAGGATAATGCCGCACCACTGGTCGCCCTGGACGGTGGCTTCTAGTGCTGGTTCGCAGATAGGATCTGTTGTTTCTACTTCCTCGGGGCAGCTGTAAAAGACACATCATAGATTAGAAAAAAAAGACCAGAAATGCAATACATGTGTGTAAAGAGAAATTTTAACAATGATATTTACGGGGAACCCGCTCGATAAACCCCTAGGTTTCATGGGTTGTCCCGCACATTTCGTTGTACATAATTAATTTACATATTGATGTATTTTAAGTACAAACTGACAATAAAAAATAATAAAATGTATACCATTGTATAGAAATTTATAGACGTATACCAGTTCCCACAGCACTTAGAATTATCTCTGTTATTTGGCATTAAAACATAAGTACTTACGTGTCGTCCACCACCTTCCAGCTGTTTCCTAACTCAATCACGGTACTGGCCATGGTTCCATTGGGCTTCAACATGTCATCGGATACAACACCGTTGAAGTTGCCACACAGGCCCTGTGTAACGTTGCGGTACGCTGGTGGTACGACGACTTCTAAGCGATGGTTTCCGTCGAAGGACACCCTGAGGCCGAAGCTTGTGCTGAGCACGACGTTGGTTCCACTGAGCCTGACGCTGATGCCTTCTGTCAAGCTGACCGGTGGAGTGGCATGAAGACCGTCCAACTGCAGATGTCAAGAGAGGGACAAAACTTATTAAGTCCTGTGCATTATACTCAGTCTACTTGAACTCAATTGAAGTAAATATCATTGAATAACAATATGTGGAAAAGGGACAAAAATAGTGAAGCGCATTTACCGTCACAACTCTTGATTGTCCCAAGATCACAGTATGTCTGTAAATGGATATGCGTGCGCTGTCGGTGTAAGATACGCGATCGGAGCCTCTTCTGTCGTTGGTAGCCTGAATCTCAAAGGCTGGAAGTTGGTCGCTCTGTCGACTGGCCTTGCTGAGAATGTAGGTGCATGCACCCTGGTAATTCAAGTTCCTTCCGTCGAACGTTAAGTAGTGAGGATCGCCCCAGCTGACGCAGATACCTTCCTCGACTAAGGTTTCATCTTCTGAAAAACATAACACAAACAAAGCATGAAACTTTGTTTCCACTACTCTTGTGAAGTAATTCAACTATTTTAAGAAACAAATTGCAAAATATACAGAAAGGTCAATCAATAGGACAATATATACTCCTATATACCCACCAGTACAATTCCTGTCAGGCAAGCAATAACAATCCCAATGGCCGCCTTGCAAAGCCCAGAAGTATCCGTCATCACAGGTGACGTCTTGACAATAGATATCATCCCTTCCACGACAGGTGCACACCTGACCGTTCACCTCGCCCCATTCTTCTCCAGTCTGGCAAAATAGAGAAGGGTTAGGGCTGCTATAATGGCAAAATGGCAATATATGTGTGTGGAGAGAGAGAGAGAGAGATAGAAAGACAGAGAGATCTTCATTGTATCTATCTATCTCTTTCTCTCTATTAATATATATATAGAGAGAGAGAAGAGATGGATAGTTGCGATGTAGATATAGATCACTTGGCGTAGGGCGTAGAACAGTTGTAAAAGAACTGAAAAGCTTCGGCCACACCTCATCTGGGATACCATCCAGAGCCCAGGACAAAGAGAACTGGAGAACCTTTGTTGCTGCCGGTACTGGCATTATGGGCAGTAAGTAAGAAAGAAAGATAGAGATCGCTTTATTGATCAAATTGTACAATTCATATGTTAAGATACAAATTAAAATGTCCACGGTTTTAGACAACGAAAAAAAAACAGTTAAAATGTATGGACTTACCGGATGGTAGAAACCATCTTTAACACATCCGCACTGCTCGTATGGAACGCAGACTTCACCGCTGAGGACAAAGCCAAGATCACATTCACACGCCTCCTTACAAGGATGGTTGCACTGACTAGGTGCCGCCACGTCGGTGCAGGTAGCCGGGCAGGCACTTGCACAGGTGGTGTAGTGACTGTTCGCTGGACATGCCAAGGCTGAAGGATAAAGGGGAAAGATTCAAAATCAATCAAGCGACCCACTACCTAGGGATCCCTAAGGAAAGACAAACATCAAAGATAGAAAAGATCTCAAGTCCAAGCGTCAATTTTCTCCACTTACGACAGATTGTTGGTGTTCTCCATTCGCCCAAGTCTATTCCCAGTTCGGAGCATGTCTGAACGTAGGCCTCCAAATTCTGACAGAGTACTTCCAAACTGCCTTGGTACTCGCAGACGTCATAGACACAGGCATCATAGTAGACATCCGGGTCAACCACGCTGTGACAGTTCTGGAAGTCTTCCATGATCTTGCCACACCGTTGGTCGCTCTCGATGATGGTTTGTAGCCCTTGATCACAGTTAGGCGTGACAATTACAGCCTCGTCAGGGCAGCTGGAAGAAGACAAATGTCAAGTCAATTAATCAAGTCTTTAAACTCAGCTGCATGACACGTGCTTGGTGTAGGACGGCATTGTGTCCCGCAAAGAAAGACCTTGATACCCACCTTGTGTTGGTCTTCCAGCTGTTACCCCACTCGTTGGCATCGCCAGCCATGCTTCCGTCCTGCTTGAGCATATCATCGCTGTCGTCGCCATTGAAGTTGCCACAAATACCCTGTGTAGTGTTGAAGTAGGTTGGCGGTACGACGACTTCTAGGCGATGGTTTCCATCGAAGGACACCCTGAGTCCGAAGGTAGTGCTGAGCACGACGTTGGGTCCACTCAATTGTATGTTGATGCCTTGCGGTAGGTTGACCGGAGGAGTAACTTGCAGGCCGTTCAGCTGCAGGGACCAAGAGAGTTACAACACTTCACCTCAACAACTGACCAAGAAAGGCCTGCTAAGAACCAAACCTGTCCAAGAAAAAAACACACACAAAGAATTGTCAAAGGCGATGTGCAGGCGTACTTACCGTGACAATGCGCCCTTGTCCGAAGGTCACACTATGTTGATAGATGTTTATAAGTGCACTATCCGTGTAAGATACACGATCGGAGCCTCTTCTGTCGTTGGTAGCCTGAATCTCAAAGGCTGGAAGTTGGTCGCTCTGTCGACTGGCCTTGCTGAGAATGTAGGTGCATGCACCTTGGTAATTCAAGTTCTTTCCGTCAAAGGTGATGTAGTGAGGATCGCCCCAGCTAACGCAAATGGCTTCGACTGGGCCACGTTCTGTGGGGTAAGACGAAGGGAGATAGCAAGAGTTAGGCATCTCATCAACGTCGACAACAGAGAGGGGAAATGATGAAGGGTTTGGAAAGAAGTCTACAGGCCAAGTAGCACCCACCATCACAGTCCCTGTCAGGTATGCAGCGACAGTCCCACGTGCCCTCTTCCAAGTTCCAGAAGAAGCCATCGGGGCAGACCACTTGTTGGCAGCTGATATCATTCTGTCCACGACAGCTACAAGTCTGGCCGTTGGCGTCACTCCATTCAGCTCCCAACTACAAGGCAAACGCACATGTCACATGGCATCCTCAACTTGCCTACATTACACACCAGTCTAGTCGTGTAACTCCTACGCATTCCCCATCTACCGACTACTACCACAACAGAACATTTTCAAATGCAGATGTCGCTAAAGAGACCGGTCAGAGCATACTCGTTAGCAATCCATTCATGAGTAAAAAGAAGAAATTACAACTGACCGGGTAGTAGATGCCGTCCTTCAGACAACCACACTGCTCCTGTGGAACGCAGACTTCACCGCTGAGGACAAAGCCAAGATCACATTCACACGCCTCCTTACAAGGGCGGTTGCACTGACTAGGTGCCGCCACGTCGGTGCAGGTAGCCGGGCAGGCACTTGCACAGGTGGTGTAGTGACTGTTCACCGGACATGCCAAGGCTGAAGGATAGAGGGGAAAGATTCAAAATCAATCAAGCGACCCCTACCTAGGGAGGCCTAAGGAAAGACAAACGTCAAAGATACAAAAGATCTCAGGTCCAAGCGTCCATTTTTTCCTACTTACGACATATTGTTGGTGTTCTCCATTCGCCCAAGTCTATTCCCAGTTGGGAGCATGCTTGCACGTAGGCCTCCAAATTCTGGCAGAGCAGTTCCAAACTGCCTTGGTACTCGCAGACGTCGTAGACACAGGCCTCATAGTAGACACCCGGGTCAACCACGCTGTGGCAGCTCTGGAAGTCTTCCATGATCTTGCCACACCGTTGGTCGCTCTCGATGATGGTTTGTAGTCCTGGCTCACAGTTAGGCGCGACAATTACGACCTCGTCAGGACAGCTGGAAGAAGACAATTTTAAGACGTCAAGTCAATTAATCGAATCTTAAACTCAGCTGCATGACACGTGCTTGGTGTAAGACGGCATTGTGTCCCGCAAGGAAAGATCTTGATACCCACCTTGTGTTGGTCTTCCAGCTGTTACCCCACTCGTTGGCATCGCCAGCCATGCCTCCGTCCTGCTTGAGCATATCATCGCTGTCGTCGCCATTGAAGTTGCCACAAATACCCTGTGTAGTGTTGAAGTAGGTTGGCGGTACGACGACTTCTAGGCGATGGTTTCCATCGAAGGACACCCTGAGTCCGAAGGTAGTGCTGAGCACGACGTTGGGTCCACTCAATTGTATGTTGATGCCTTGCGGTAGGTTGACCGGAGGAGTAACTTGCAGGCCGTTCAGCTGCAGGGACCAAGAGAGAGGGACAAAACGTCACTTCAACAACTGACCAAGAAAGGCCTGCTAAGAACAAAACCTGTCCAAGAAAACACACACACAAAGAATTGTCAAAGGCGATGTGCAGGCGTACTTACCGTGACAATGCGCCCTTGTCCGAAGGTCACACTATGTTGATAGATGTTTATAAGTGCACTATCCGTGTAAGATACACGATCGGAGCCTCTTCTGTCGTTGGTAGCCTGAATCTCAAAGGCTGGAAGTTGGTCGCTCTGTCGACTGGCCTTGCTGAGAATGTAGGTGCATGCACCTTGGTAATTCAAGTTCTTTCCGTCAAAGGTGATGTAGTGAGGATCGCCCCAGCTAACGCAAATGGCTTCGACTGGGCCACGTTCTGTGGGGTAAGACGAAGGGAGATAGCAAGAGTTAGGCATCTCATCAACGTCGACAACAGAGAGGGGAAATGATGAAGGTTACAAGTTTGGAAAGAAGTCTACAGGCCAAGTAGCACCCACCATCACAGTCCCTGTCAGGTATGCAGCGACAGTCCCACGTGCCCTCTTCCAAGTTCCAGAAGAAGCCATCGGGGCAGACCACTTGTTGGCAGCTGATATCATTCTGTCCACGACAGCTACAAGTCTGGCCGTTGGCGTCACTCCATTCAGCTCCCAACTACAAGGCAAACGCACACGTCACATGGCATCCTCAACTTGCCTACATTACACACCAGTCTAGTCGTGTAACTCCTACGCATTCCAAATCTACCGACTACTACCACAACAGAACATTTTCAAATGCAGATGTCGCCAAAGAGACCGGTCAGAGCATACTCGTTAGCAATCCATTCATGAGTAAAAAGAAGAAATTACAACTGACCGGGTAGTAGATGCCGTCCTTCAGACAACCACACTGCTCCTGTGGAACGCAGACTTCACCGCTGAGGACAAAGCCAAGATCACATTCACACGCCTCCTTACAAGGGCGGTTGCACTGACTAGGTGCCGCCACGTCGGTGCAGGTAGCCGGGCAGGCACTTGCACAGGTGGTGTAGTGACTGTTCACCGGACATGCCAAGGCTGAAGGATAGAGGGGAAAGATTCAAAATCAATCAAGCGACCCCTACCTAGGGAGGCCTAAGGAAAGACAAACGTCAAAGACACAAAAGATCTCAGGTCCAAGCGTCCATTTTTTCCACTTACGACATATTGTTGGTGTTCTCCATTCGCCCAAGTCTATTCCCAGTTGGGAGCATGCTTGCACGTAGGCCTCCAAATTCTGGCAGAGCAGTTCCAAACTGCCTTGGTACTCGCAGACGTCGTAGACACAGGCCTCATAGTAGACACCCGGGTCAACCACGCTGTGGCAGCTCTGGAAGTCTTCCATGATCTTGCCACACCGTTGGTCGCTCTCGATGATGGTTTGTAGTCCTGGCTCACAGTTAGGCGCGACAATTACGACCTCGTCAGGACAGCTGGAAGAAGACAATTGTCAAGACGTCAAGTCGAGTCTTTAAACTCAGCTGCATGACACGTGCTTGGTGTAGGACGGCATTGTGCCCCGCAAAGAAAGACCTTGATACCCACCTTGTGTTGGTCTTCCAGCTGTTACCCCACTCGTTGGCATTGGCAGCCTCGGTTTCGTCCTGCTTGAGCATGTCGTCGNGATTCCAAATCAATCAAGCGACCCCTACCTAGGGAGGTCTAAGGAAAGACAAACGTCAAAGACACAAAAGATCTCAAGTCCAAGCGTCCATTTTCTCCACTTACGACAGATTGTTGGTGTTCTCCATTCGCCCAAGTCTATTCCCTGTTCGGAGCATGCTTGCACGTAGGCCTCCAAATTCTGGCAGAGCAGTTCCAAACTGCCTTGGTACTCGCAGACGTCGTAGACACAGGCATCATAGTAGACACCCGGGTCAACCACGCTGTGACAGTTCTGGAAGTCTTCCATGATCTTGCCACACCGTTGGTCGCTCTCGATAATGGTTTGTAGTCCTGGCTCACAGTCAGGAACGACAATTTCAACCTCGTCGGGGCAGCTGGAAGAAGACAATTGTCAAGACGTCAAGTCAATCAGTCAAGTCTTTAAACTCAGCTGCATGACACGTGCTTGGTGTAAGCATTCTGTCCCAAAATGAAAGACCTTGATACCCACCTTGTGTTGGTCTGCCAGCTGTTACCCCACTCGTTGGCATTGGCAGCCATGCTTCCGTCCTGCTTGAGCATGTCGTCGCTGTCGTCGCCATTGAAGTTGCCACAAATACCCTGTGTAGTGTTGAAGTAGGTTGGCGGTACGACGACTTCTAGGCGATGGTTTCCATCGAAGGACACCCTGAGTCCGAAGGTAGTGCTGAGCACGACGTTGGGTCCACTCAATTGTATGTTGATGCCTTGCGGCAGGTTGACCGGAGGAGTAACTTGCAGGCCGTTCAGCTGCAGGGACCAAGACAGAGGGACAAAACGTCACTTCAACAACTGACCAAGAAAGGCCTGCTAAGAACGAAACCTGTCCAAGAAAAACACACACACAAAGAATTGTCAAAGGCGATGTGCAGGCGTACTTACCGTGACAATGCGCCCTTGTCCGAAGGTCACACTATGTTGATAGATGTTTATAAGTGCACTATCCGTGTAAGATACACGATCGGAGCCTCTTCTGTCGTTGGTAGCATGAATCTCAAAGGCTGGAAGTTGGTCGCTCTGTCGACTGGCCTTGCTGAGAATGTAGGTGCATGCACCCTGGTAATTCAAGTTCTTTCCGTCGAAAGTGATGTAGTGAGGATCGCCCCAGCTAACGCAAATGGCTTCGACTGGGCCTCGTTCTGTGGGGTAAGACGAGGGGAGATAGCAAGAGTTAGGCATCTCATCAACGTCAACAACATAGAGGGTAAATGATGAAGGTTACAAGTTTTGCAAAGAAGTCTACAGGCCAAGTAGCACCCACCATCACAATCCCTGTCAGGTATGCAGCGACAGTCCCACGTGCCCTCTTCCAAGTTCCAGAAGAAGCCATCGGGGCAGACCACTTGTTGGCAGCTGATATCATTCTGTCCACGACAGCTACAAGTCTGGCCGTTGGCGTCACTCCATTCAGCTCCCAACTACAAGGCAAACGCACATGTCACATGGCATCCTCAACTTGCCTACATTACTCACCAGTCTAGCCGTCTAACTCCTACGCATTGAGCAATCTATCGACTTCTACCACAACAGAACGTTTCAAAATGCAGATGTCGCTCAAGAGACCGGTCAGAGCATACTCGTTAACAATCCATTCATGAATAAAGAAGAAATGACAACTGACCGGATAGTAGATGCCGTCCTTCAGACAACCACACTGCTCCTGTGGAACGCAGACTTCGCCGCTGAGGACAAAGCCAAGATCACATTCACACGCCTCCTTACAAGGATGGTTGCACTGACTAGGTGCCGCCACGTCGGTGCAGGTAGCCGGGCAGGCACTTGCACAGGTGGTGTAGTGACTGTTCGCTGGACATGCCAAGGCTGAAGGATAGAGGGGAAAGATTCCAAATCAATCAAGCGACCCCTACCTAGGGAGGTCTAAGGAAAGACAAACGTCAAAGACACAAAAGATCTCAAGTCCAAGCGTCCATTTTCTCCACTTACGACAGATTGTTGGTGTTCTCCATTCGCCCAAGTCTATTCCCAGTGCGGCGCATGCTTGCACGTAGGCCTCCAAATTCTGGCAGAGCAGTTCCAAACTGCCTTGGTACTCGCAGACGTCGAAGACACAGGCATCATAGTAGACACCCGGGTCAACCACGCTGTGACAGTTCTGGAAGTCTTCCATGATCTTGCCACACCGTTGGTCGCTCTCGATGATGGCTTGTAGTCCTGGCTCACAGTCAGGAACGACAATTTCAACCTCGTCGGGGCAGCTGGAAGAAGACAATTGTCAAGACGTCAAGTCAATCAGTCAAGTCTTTAAACTCAGCTGCATTTATGACACGTGCTTGGTGTAAGACGGCATTCTGTCCCAAAATGAAAGACCTTGATACCCACCTTGTGTTGGTCTGCCAGCTGTTACCCCACTCGTTGGCATTGGCAGCCATGCTTCCGTCCTGCTTGAGCATGTCGTCGCTGTCGTCGCCATTGAAGTTGCCACAAATACCCTGTGTAGTGTTGAAGTAGGTTGGCGGTACGACGACTTCTAGGCGATGGTTTCCATCGAAGGACACCCTGAGTCCGAAGGTAGTGCTGAGCACGACGTTGGGTCCACTCAATTGTATGTTGATGCCTTGCGGCAGGTTGACCGGAGGAGTAACTTGCAGGCCGTTCAGCTGCAGGGACCAAGAGAGAGGGACAAAACGTCACTTCAACAACTGACCAAGAAAGGCCTGCTAAGAACGAAACCTGTCCAAGAAAAACACACACACAAAGAATTGTCAAAGGCGATGTGCAGGCGTACTTACCGTGACAATGCGCCCTTGTCCGAAGGTCACACTATGTTGATAGATGTTTATAAGTGCACTATCCGTGTAAGATACACGATCGGAGCCTCTTCTGTCGTTTGTAGCCTGAATCTCAAAGGCTGGAAGTTGGTCGCTCTGTCGACTGGCCTTGCTGAGAATGTAGGTGCATGCACCCTGGTAATTCAAGTTCTTTCCGTCGAAAGTGATGTAGTGAGGATCACCCCAGCTAACGCAAATAGCTTCGACTGGGCCACTTTCTGTTAGGTGAGACAAATGGAGATAGCAAGAGTTAGGCATCCCATCAACAGTTACCTACATGTATAACGGAAAGGGTGCTAGTTTTAGATGTGAACTTATTCAAAGAAGTATGACTTAGGCACCCACCGTCACAATTAGTATTGGGTGGGCAGCGACAGTCCCACGTGCCCTCTTCCAAGTTCCAGATGAAACCATCGGGGCAGACCACTTGTTGACAGGAGATATCATTTTGTCCACGACAGCTACAAGTCTGGCCGTTGGCCTCGCCCCATTCAGCGCCCAACTGTAAGAACATTATGTCGGTATGAGGAATCACGGAACACTTTCTCTTAATCTTAATTCTCTCTTGCTCTCTAGCGTAACATACCAGCCTCGCGGACACGTGTCGCGTCGGTAGCTGGCTACATTGCAACAACATTACACCCACCTACGTCAAGCTTTAGGTTATATGTTTAACTCTGTCTCCTCGTGTGATAGCGCCCCCACCAAACTTTGTTGAAGCGATATCCCCTATAAGATAGTTTTAAGAAAAAGCCTTTCAAAACCTCCATTATTCATTGATTGATTTGTGACTTAAAGGCACGACTATTTCTTGTCCTCGTCTGAGCTGGATAAGAGTTAAAACATTAAGCAGTTTTTAGTCAATTTGTACATCATGGTCTATACATTTTTCTCCTATATTCTACTGACACCCACCGTACGTACATTCCTGCAAGTCTAACTTAACAGATTTGGCTCACTTACCGGATAGTAGATTCCGTCTTTCACGCACCCACACTGTTCCTGTGGAACGCAGACTTCACCGCTGAGAACAAAGCCAAGATCACATTCACACGCCTCCTTACAAGGATGGTTGCACTGACTAGGTGCCGCCACGTCGGTGCAGGTAGCCGGGCAGGCACTTGCACAGGTGGTGTAGTGACTGTTCACTGGACACGATAGAGCTGGTGGATAAAGCAGAGGACATTTTTAGCAAACAAGCTCTAGCTATGATGTCTTATGACGTTTACAACATGCTGACATATAAAGTTTCAACCTTCGGTGCCAACTTCTTATTACTTACGACATATTGTCGGTGTTCTCCAAACGCCCAGGTCTATTCCATGTTCAGAGCATGCTTGCACGTAGGCCTCCAAATTCTGGCAGAGGAACTCCAGGCTGCCTTGGTACTCGCAGACGTCGTAGACACATGCTGAGTAGTAGGCAGCCGGGTCAACGGCACTGTGACAGGCCTGAAAATCTTCCAAGATCTTGCCACACCATTCGTCGCTCTCGATTATAACTTTCAATCCCTCAGTACAGACTGCTACAGGGTCGACGGTACCAACTTCGTCAGGGCAGCTGTGTCGCAATTAAGGAAAAGTTAATCAGTCCAAATGCGCGGATTTACGTTTTGAAATGAAATATCACTTTCCTAAAAGGCTATCCTATGTATTCGTCTTCCTGGAAAGACATTGGCTGGTAATATACTGTTTTTTCAGCTGTATTTCAACTCATAACAAACGTGTTCTCACCTAAAATTTCCGTCGGTAATACTTTAATACCCACCTCGTATCTACATTCCAGCTATTGCCCCACTCCACAGCACTAGAAGCCATGCTTCCATTTGACAAAAGCATGTCATCGGTGTCGTCGCCGTTGAAGTTGCCACAGATGCCCTGCGTTATGTTAGAGTAGGCTGGTGGTACAACGATTTCTAGGCGAGTATTTCCGTCGAAGGACACCCTGAGTCCAAAGGTAGTGCTGAGCACGACGTTAGGTCCGCTGAACTGCACGTTGATGCCTTCCGGCAGATTGACCGGGGGAGTCACCCGCATGCCGTTCAGCTGCAGAGATATAGGTAAAGACAAACTTTTAGTTTAGCAGCTCATCTGCAAGAACCTAGAAACATAACGCTTCAAAGATAACACAAGTACCAACGGCGATGTGCAGGCGTACTTACGGTCACAACGCGCCCTTGTGCCAGGGTCACTGTATGCTGATAGATGTTAATAATTGCGCTGTCTGTACAAGAGACACGATTGGAGCCCTTTCTGTCGTTGGTTCCCTGAATCTCAAAGGCTGGAAGTTGGTCGCTCTGTCGACTGGCCTTGCTGAGAATGTAGGTGCATGCACCCTGGTAATTCAAGTTCTTTCCGTCAAAGGTGATGTAGTGAGGATCGCCCCAGCTGACGCAGACCCCTTCCAATTCTGGGTTAGTACCTGGTTAAGATAAAATTCCAGAGGTTTCGCAAAACAAGCCAAAACAAAGCCATGAACGATTCTCTTTGTTGGAAGCTTGTATAAAGATCGTAAGAAGAAAACATGTCATACTCATAGTTGTAACTAGCCACAGTCAAAAAGTCGTGAATGCCTTTTACAAACGTTTAATTTTACCTTCGCAGATCGTTTCCAGTTGGCAGTGGCAGCCCCACTGGCCATCTACTAAACTCCATGTGAAGCCGTTGTTACATTCAACGTCCCTGCATGTGCTATTGTTGTCTCCACGGCAGGTGCATCGCTGGCCATTTTCTAGACCCCACTCTTCGTTTAGCTGTAGGACAGGATTGTTTCATTGAAATTGATATTGCACGGTTGCTTATTGGAACTGTTGTCTAGTTGGAAAGCAAATGTCAACGTTAATCATCACTAGAAGGACTAATCCACAGACTACGAAACGTGATTTGATAATAGATTTCTAGAATTGAAAATGACTAGTGCATACATATGAGGATTCAATCTTTTTATCGATTTACATAATAATTTTAGGATGGAAAAAACTATGGAAGCAAGCACAAAAGTGTCCAATAATCTCAAAACAAAGACACACCGCGTAGTAGATTCCATCTATTAGACAACCACACTGCTCCTGTGGAACGCAGACTTCACCGCTGAGGACAAAGCCAAGATCACATTCACACGCCTCCTTACAAGGATGGTTGCACTGACTAGGTGCCGCCACGTCGGTGCAGGTAGCCGGGCAGGCACTTGCACAGGTGGTGTAGTGACTGTTCGCTGGACACGATAGCGCTGAGGGATAAAGCGGACGGCATGGTAATCAACAAATATACAGAACAGTGATTCCATAACAGACAGGTCAAGTCAATGATGCATTGTAGAAAAACCTCAAACCTTCATCTAAACCTCTTACATGCATTACTTACGACATATCGTTGGTGTTCTCCAGTCGCCCAAGTCTATTCCCTGCGATGCACAAGCTTGCACGTAAGCCTCTATGTTTTGGCAGAGAAGTTCCAAACTGCCTTGGTACTCGCAGACGTCGTAGATACAGGCTTCATAATAGGGACCCGGGTCAACCAAGCTGTGACAGTTCTGGAAGTCTTCCATGATTTTGCCACACCGTTCGTCGCTCTCTATGATGGTTTGTAGCCCGGGCTCACAGCTAGGGTCCACCGGACCTACTTGGTCAGGGCAGCTGTGAAAAAAAACAAGAGGTTTATTGCCTATCTTAATGCCATGAAATCAGTCATAATGATTCGTGTGTCGTTCAATGACATCGATCTATTTTACTTTCTTAATCATGTGCTCCTCCTTCTAAAACAGGTACTGCAGAAAAGCCTTGATGCCCACCTTGTGTTCGTCTTCCAACTGTTTCCCAACTGGACAGCATTGGCAGCCATGTTTCCATCTGGCATCGTCAAGTCATCGCTCTTATCATCGTTGAAGTTGCCACAAATACCCTGTGTAGTGTTGAAGTAGGTTGGCGGTACGACGACTTCTAGGCGATGGTTTCCATCGAAGGACACCCTGAGTCCGAAGGTAGTGCTGAGCACGACGTTGGGTCCACTCAATTGTATGTTGATGCCTTCCACCAAGTCTATTGGAAGAGTAGCCTGCAGGCCGTTCAGCTGAAGAGACCAAGATCTTCCGTTAGCTATGTCAAGCATGGTGCCCTGTATGCAATACCATATGAATCACTAGGCTCTTCTATCTTTCAAGGAGCAACGCTAAGGAAGGGTAGCCTGGGTACCATCCCCAGTAGTATATTCGCAAACTCTATAACCAGTTATAGAGTTTGCGAGTATACTACTGGGGATGGTACCCAGGCTAAAGGAAGGGGACAATGATCTAGAGAACTTACCGTGACAATGCGCCCTTGTCCGAAGGTCACACTATGTTGATAGATGTGTATAAGTGCACTATCCGTGTAAGATACACGATCGGAGCCTCTTCTGTCGTTGGTAGCCTGAATCTCAAAGGCTGGAAGTTGGTCGCTCTGTCGACTGGCCTTGCTGAGAATGTAGGTGCATGCACCCATGTAATTCAGGCTCTTTCCGTCAAAGGTGATGTAGTGAGGATCGCCCCAGCTAACGCAGATGCCTTCTACTTCTGGTGTGGTTCCTTGTAGAAATGCAAATAATCGTTTTATGCATAAATAATGATTACGTTTTACGATTATATTTTATTGTATTAGTGAATGTTGCATATGCAAGGATTTGTAGGAGCTGACCAATTTGTAGTTGTTAGATGGCTCATAAATATTGATAATTATTGTTATCATATTTTTCAGGAATGGGACTGAATTGCAAGATCCATTACATCCCATGCTCCCTATCAGAACTTATACAACCAGCAAACGTCTAGTAGACAAGTGCTTCTGCCTACCTTCACAGTTGTTGTCCAACTGGCAGTGGCAATCCCACACGCCGTCCACCAAGCTCCAAGCGAAGCCGTCGTTGCACTCCACCGCCCTGCAGGTGATGTTATTCTGGCTGTGACAGGTGCACCGCTGTCCGTTGTCTACACCCCATTCCTCATTCAGCTGTAGGACAGGTTTGCACAACGGTGAATAGTTTCATCAGGTTGGTAACTAACTGAGTAAAGAGACTGTTTTTACACAGCCAAGCCTTTTATTCAGCCGACGTTTCGGTGACCGTCTGTCACCTTCCTCAAGGCAATTCTGACTGGTTCATATTGCACTACAGCATGCATTTATAGCAACGAGACCTGTGCTGCAGTGCAATGTCAGACGGTCACCGAAACGTCGGATGAATAAAAGACTTGGTTGTGTAAAAATACTCAGGTTTCCACAACGTTGGACAGGTTTACACAAATTGGATGAATAGAATAGGAAGAGACAAGAAATTGGTCAGTGTTTAAGGAGGCCGACATACCGCGTGGTAGATGCCATCCGTGAGACAGCCGCACTGGTCCTCCGGAATACAGTCCTGACCGCTCAGAACGAAGCCCTGGTCGCACTGGCAGCCCTCCACACACGGCTCGTCACAGCTGTCCGCGGCGGTCAGGTCTGTGCACACTGCCGGGCACGAGCTGCCGCAGGCCGTGTAATGCTGATGGACTCCGCACGATGTAGCTGGAGAACGACATGATTAAAAAACGTTTAGTAGCATTGCAAATACATGCCCGAGGGCTTATTGCAGGTACAAACAATATGTATGGAAAAGAAAATACAATGGTACGAGCGACCTCGTCTAACATTATACAACATTCTACAAAATACACAACAACAGCATATCACTGCATGAAAAATGTATTTTTGTTACCATAAACGTCAGGTTATACTAGTAATAATAGTAGATACTACATAGTCCTTTTGTACTTACGGCATAATGTCTGAGTTCTCCAGTCGTCCAGTTCTACCTCATTAGCCAGGCAGGCCGCCGCGTACGCCTCTAGGCTTTGACACAGGACGTCCAAGCTGCCTTGGTACTCACAGACGTCGTAGACACAGGCGTCGAAGTAAGGAGTCGGGTCCACCACGCCGTTACAAGACTGGAACGTTTCTCTGATCACGCCGCACCAGTTGTCGCTCTCCACCACAGCCTGTAGTCCCGGCTCGCAGTTTGGTTCGGGATTTACTGGTTCCACTGCAGCAGGACAGCTATTGAGAAGAAAAGCGGCCTTTGGTCACATTTCATAAGAGTGCAAGTAGTTACGTACTGGTATTTCAATCATTTTGTCTACGGTTCCATGCGAGGTAATTTTAAGGTCGATATTGTAAAGTTGATGATGTTTTGATTCAATTACAAGTCTAAAAATACACCTTGTGAAATCATCACAATTCAGTCTCATTGACAGAGATAAAACCCAACAATGATTATATCAAAAGTAGCATTAGCATTACCTGTTATCATTTTTACTGTTTATCAATTTATCATGTTCTTGCAATTAGCCCTTGGGCATGGATTTGCAATAAACTTTGATACTTTCATTTACTGCTAAGATAGATCATAACGCCTAGGTTTGAATGTACCTTCCGTCGAGATCAATTTCCCAGCTGTTTCCAAACTCGGTGTGGGTCGAGGCCGTGGTGCCGTCCGGCATTTTCAGGTCGTCCTGTGGATCGTTGTTGAAGTTTCCGCACAGTCCTTGGACGTTGTCGGTGTACGCTGGCGGCACGATGACTTCCAGGCGGTGGTTGCCGTTGTAAGCCACTCGCAGGCCGAATGCCGTTCGGAGGACGACGTTCCTGCCGCTAAGGCGCACGCTGACGCCCTCCGCTAGTTGGAGGGGAAGGGTGACCTGCACCTCATCAAGCTGGGAACATAAAATTCGGTGTAAGCTTTTGGATGGAAAGACAAGAGGGGTTACCGTGTCCAAAACCGTGCCAATCTAGTTGTGTGAATATGTTGTTACAGTTAGGATGAGGCACGATTCTGGCCATATAGTCTCCGCGTATCCAAGAACGTAAACTTGCGCCAGGCACGGTTCTGGACACCCGTGGACTATCCAAAACCATGAAGTGAGCGCGGTTCTGGATGAAGCGCGGTTCTGGATACAATATTTATGTTCCACTTGGTTATAACTTGTAAGCATTATGAATGTGATGAGTGTGGCGTCACAACGTCTTGCCATTACATGTTGGAATAAAAAAAAATAGATAAAACTGTGGTAGTCAATACAACAGCCTTACCATCACCACTCTGCCTAGTCCCAACGTTATAACGTGCTGGTAGATCTCAACCTGCGCCCCGGCCGTGTAGGACACGAGGTCCGACCCTCTGTGCTCGTTGGTGGCCAGGATTCGGAAGGCCGGTCTCTCGGAATCTCGTTCTGTTGCCTGGACGAGATTGTACGTGCAGCCGCCTTGGAAGTTGACGTAGGTGCCGTCGAACGTGATGTAGTGTGGGTCTCCCCAGCTGATGCATACCGCAGAAGGCCCTAGGACTGCACACACAACAGCCATCGTTATATACAATCGTGAAAGTTCATCTGTATCGGTAGTTTCATGTTGAAAGTTAAAACTTTTGTTCCAGCACAAAAGGTAAATGTTCTCATGTAGAGCTTTTGTCCAATCACTCTGGTCTTCCAGACACCGACCCAGTGAGTCAAGTCCCGTGGCTTCTCTGATGTGTGATGTCAACACTGCGTCAACCATATTCCCTTCTCATTCCTCTAAGCTTATAATGTATCTTCCCCATTGTTACCGACATATTCATCGTGGCTGTCATTCATATCTTAATGAATCATAATGATATCATAATGAATTAGGTTTTAAAGAAATGGATTCTGAATTGAACGGAACATAGCTGACGAAGGAAAGGGGAAAGGGGATATCTGAAATTTGTTTCTGACTTGTTTCTAAGCATACCTTACATACATCTGTTGTTATTTAAGAACTTTTGCAGACGCAGAGAGAAATAACCTACTTTCTTCGCAGTTGACTCCTGTGTAGGTGGGCGGACACACGCACATGTAGTCCTCCTCCACCTCGGTACAGTTCCCTCCGTTCAAACAGGGGTCAGACTCGCAAGGCGTGGTGCCGTTAACTATGGAGAAATCGTCATAACGATCATCAAAATGTCTCCAGATTAGTAGTAGTCGAAGGTGTCTGTAAATGGCTGTGTGATGCGTCTAGTGTGTAGGGTGTTTCCAGATTAGCACTAAAAACAATAGTTTGATTGTATCGCATATGTATAAACATGCAGTGGTAGGTAATCGCTTGTGTCCGATTGCAAAAGTGTGTTTTAATTAATCTAAATACATATTGTGATAAGTTCAAGTTAATTTAAATATACAAAAATGGCATACATGCTGCAAAGTTGAGACAAGACCTTATGTTAATCATAACCGTGTCTTAAGGTATTTTTCTACGACTGTCGGGACAAGCATCTTATAATATTATGGTGTAATTCAGAAATTTCATTGTAATAATTTGCGAACGTACGCAGTTGACAGTTGTCGCCGATCCAACCCTCTGCGCATGCGCACGTGTAGTTGTTGAAGAGGTCTATACACGTGCCGTTGTTCAGGCAGGGGTCGCTCGCACACTCATTGGTCTCTGTGGAAATATGATAATTTCAAAGCATTTAAAGGTCATCATGAAAGTTCATCTGTGTTGGTAGTAATCATAGTAAAACATTGAACTTTATTCCAACACACCGTTTACAGAGATCAAATTTTCAGCGACCACTGTCGCCTTCATCAGGATAATTAATGACCAATCACTTCATGAAGGCGACAGTGGTCGCTGAAAATTTGATCTCTGTAAACTGTGTGTTGGAATAAAGTTCAAAGTTTTACTAGCATTTAAAGATCGTCGTACGAACGCTAAAGCCCTTGTCACACATGTACATTCACGAACTTACGGTGCCACGAATTCGTTCCCGAACACGTTGGCCGGTGTTCGGGAGCACTCTAACCAGATTCAGGTCACACCTGCCTTCTGTATATGCCTCAAAACGAATTTGAGTTAAATTGCAGCCAAATTCACAAACATTTTGCATCTGTCTGAATTTTGTTGATATTTACAAAGATTTTAATATGTACAGGCAAGGTCATAAATTGCCAAGTTTTGAGACTAAAATTCACTTTATCATAAAGACTTTTTTTTCAATCTAGGGGATACCGTTTCGCTCTTATAAAACCAAGGACATTATACAGACGTATATAATGTCCTTGATAAAACGAAATGTGTCTATCTTACCATTTTCGCAGAATCGTCCCTCCCATCCTGCAGTGCAGTTGCAGAAGAAGTCGTTGACCAGGTCCACACAGCCGCCCTGGTTCTGACAGGTAACGTTCTCACACTCATCGATATCTAGAAAAACAAACAAGAAGAAAAACAGAGATTTCAGATTTTTAGGAAGTATACAGCCCTAGGCTTTTGAATCCCTCATGTCGTCCATGTCTAACTTCTGCTTCTGGAAACCTTTTCTGTCCGAACAATTGCAAACATACACATACCTACAGCTCAGTCACCAAAAACAATGTAATGAAAGCAATGCCATTTTTAAACGAACGCTTGTATCAGTCAGTATCTTGTACAATTGTAGACAAAACTTTATCCCTATAATCAAGAATAAAATAATGGGAAGCATGGCATTATTACAGCATCATAAAATTATTTAATGATTACAGGGTCTTCTCTTTAGCATGTCGTATTACATGTAAATTTGATAGAACTACGTTACGTGTGGACAGTCGCATCTTAGCGTACTGCTGTTAAAGAGTGGGATTTAAGCTTGTTTCTCTATGTCTTGTTTAGCCTTCATTCTCACCTATTTCACAGTTGACTCCAGTGAATCCTGGTGCACAGGTACACTGGTAAAAATCAACTCCCACTTCGTGAGAACACACGCCGCCATTCTGACAAGGATCGCTGGCACACTCGTCCACGTCTGGAATAAAATAAGGCATTTTTATTAATCACTTGGACTGGACCTAAGATGAGAACATTGGTTACGATAGCCCTAGGAGAGACGTTTTCAGTAGAAGCGTAAAGTAAACCGGTCACATTGGAATCACATAGCGTTCAGACGCAAATCGCGATCCGGCGAAACCGGTTTGAAACTACCTCCCGATGTGGTTTGGGATCGAGGCGCTTTCAATGCGATTTGGAGCGTTCAGATGGGGCCGCTTGAATCCGGCTTCGGTGGAAACTGGATCGAAAGCGCTTACAGCGTATTTGTGTGAATGGGGCCTTTATCATAGTGTAAATGGGGCCCTAGATCCTTGTGGGGTTGGTTTTGTTACAGCCTGCTCGAAAATGCTATACGGCATCAAAATCGTGGCCGTGCTGTGAGGCGCACTAGTAATTGAGCTCGACTCACCGATTTCACACCTCGTTCCTTGCCATCCAGGTGGGCATTGACAGGTGTACGTGTAGGTGATGAGGTCAGACATACACGTGCCTCCGTTAGTACAGGGAGAGCTGTAGCACACGTCGAGGTCTGGAGAATGGGGACGATAAACAATAAAAGTTATCTCACAGAACACATCCCAATGGACGTCCATATGCGAACCAAAAGCATACCACCTATAACTTGCAATTACAAGACCTTCCTTGTAGTAGGTCTCTGGCAAACAGACACAGATCTGTTTAAAATGCATCCAATGCAATTTCAGGGTGGCCAAACGGGGCCTATCCCATAGAATATTGATATCTGGAGAGAAAAATGTGATGTTGATAACGGAAAGAGGTTGATTGCTTCGTATCGTAGGCTGGTTCTAGATATTGTTAAATCCGCAGTACCCATTAAATGAAGAGAAACCTCACGCAGCTGGTTTCTGGGCTATTTCAAAATACTTTAAGTATGAAATGATGACGAAAACGTGATAAGATCTGGCAGTAAATTTCTGTATTAGACAGATTTTCTCAACCTGAATATTTTTGTTTTGCCGCCTTGAAGTTGTATTTGGCTGCCAATAATACAATTTGACGCTGCAGCTGTCAGTGAAGTTCTTCTATCAGCATTTTATGCAGAAATATAAAAAGCGATCACCTGATTGCAGGTACTGTGAACATTTCTGTTTTATAACATTGCTTTTTACGTACCTGCTCTGTATACTAGTTGGAATCCCGACATTTCCACGTTCCTGTCTGAGTACAGGTTCAGCCACATCTGCCTAGTGTCCACCCTCTGCGCCGGCGGGGTGCTGTTTCCACAGAAGACGCCGATCGTGTTCTGGAAAGGGACGAGTCCCTCTCCTATCTCCAGGGCATCCTTACACGCAGATGTCCCGTCATTGTCCTCGTTGATTTCCAAGTGAAATTCACCAAGAAAAGTGATATCTATGCCTGAAATGGCACCCAAAAATCAAGATGACAGTGGTTTTTTTTTGCACCATCAATGTATTCTCTAGCTGATTACACCTTTTGTAGAAGTATACTATACATTAATATATAATGAGATTTAATATTTTCTTCGCCCTCTTCCTCTCGTTAACTGTCGGTCCCTTCTCCTTCCTTCTTCTTTCGGTCTGTCTCATCTATATCCATCTACATCCATATCCCTCTGCCAGTCTCTCTATCTGTACCTTCCCCTTACGTTTCTGTATCTGTATCGTTATAGCCGTATAACCAAATTCGGCGTAACACAACAGCTTAAGTTTCCATACGTACCTGTAGCGCCCTCTACATTGACGCACCATGTGTAGTCTGTTCTTGGTGGGTAGTCGCTAGGGTACCCCGGCGAGGTTATCCGGCCTGCCGGGGTCCTACGTGTCTCATCGCATTGTGTACTTCCAGAACCTACAAAAACAAACGAAAACAATGTCTTTTGAATCAGTAGATTAATTTGCATTGAGGATGGATTTTTGTAGCAACATATTAGTCACGAGTTTGTCAGATACTGTATGTTTAACCTAAACTTTCCACGTCAGGCTGCAATACCTGGAATTCGTTGTGGGAATGCCTAGGCCAGGGCCTCTTAGAGTGGTGCTACACTGGTGTCCAGCTAATCTCCAAGCAGATCTTTTATAATATCTAAGCAGATCTTTTGGTGGCTGCAAATACCAGAATCAAATTGGCAAGGCTGTATCCATTTGCCAGACAGAAGGCGAAATGGTAATTGTCTGGCCAATGGGTACTGCCTGGAAAATTTGATCCTGTCTCCGCAGCCACGGAAAAAATTGCTTTGAGATCAGTGTCCAGCAGGAAAAAAGAAAAGGGGAGGCTAAGAAATGACCATACAGTGATGGGTTGCTGACGGTTCATATTATATTACTATTGTATTAAAAGTTCTCAATTTTCATCAATTTCTGCTTGCAGAGTGTGCTGTATTACAAGGAACAACTGTCAACTATTTTTCCGGCCTGTGTGCTTAACAAATATTTATGGAACTCCTGAGAGTTGTTGCTGGGTAAACGACCTGTGCACACATCGGCCGTACGCGCAGACGTCCCTTCACCTCTCTGGTCCGTCGAGTGTGTTGTCCCTGTCAATCGGCCGTGTACATGTTTGTCTGAAGATTTATTTTCAGGGCGTCGAAATTTACTAGAGCGATTTGAAATAAAGCAGACGTTTTTTCCTGTTAGGCCATGTTGATTTGATTATATGGATGACATCCTCTGGAAACCCCAAAACTGATGCGAGCATCCGAATAAAAAAAAAGTTTGGCAAAAAGTTGCCTTCAATATAAAATATATACATGGTCATGAAGGTTGAACAAATGGGTAAACACACAGAGTATGGTATGACCGTATCTCGAATAATAGACTCTTTATTTCCATTTCAAGCTCAGGAAGAATAGCTACAGTTGTACGCTAATTGTGGATCCTAATGAAGTCAAAGTCGTGGGGACGTATTCGACTATTTGTGACAGGGGCTTAAAGTTCTTAGGGCCCGACGCCACACGCGCCAAACGACCTCCCACCTACCATCCCCCAAACCACACGTTACTAGTATTAATATGACAGGACAAGCCCTTTGTCTGTAACAGCAGGAAGCTGTACCAGATAAGAACTTCATAATGACCGTAACCTTGGGTAATTAAAAAGACATACAGACCGTGAACTTTGATCCAGTTGCAACACGAGCAACGGGTAACTGCCGGGTCAGCCGGCGGCCACTCATGATTTATGATCAACGCAAATATAAACTGAGTTATGTGTCCGTACTTGTAGTTGTATATAGTTATAGTTCAGCCTGTTTAGACGCGTAGAGTGATATGACGCAACTAAACATACTAAAGCTACACTGTAATGTGGTGACCTGCACGCCACCAGAATTTGGTAAATTTTTTATAGCCTAACATGTAGTCACAAGACGTGGTGACGACACACTCAAGTTTTTTCAACTTATATTAATGCCGCCAACACAAGGAACAATATAGTACTCATTTTCACCTGAGCAAAGTGAGGAAAGTCGTGTAAAGTGCCTTTCCCAAGGGCACAAGATCGGTGGCATGTCAGGACTCGAACCCGGGACTTCTTGGTTCCGAGTCGAACACTCTGCCGCTACGCCACACGACCCCACGTTTGGTAGATTTGGAAGCGTTCAAGCGTCGGAATTTATGGAGAACGGTTAAGATAAGGAATGCACAATCCATCAACCTGCAGGTCTCTTTATTACAGCACAACGCCCCCGCATCGCGCTGGAACAAGGCCGACTACGTCAGAGGGTGACCTCTACATGCCTGCGTGTCACCGCGGCGACACCCTGGGCAATCAGAGCCCTTAAATGACCGAACAAACATGCCGGACGATAAGGCGGCGCAACAAGCTTTGGGTAACACCCTACAAGAAACAATACACGCTACTACACCTGTTACTACAATAACGGTCCCTACATAAGAACACTAGTGCTACAACAAGCTTTGCATGCAGGTAACACACAAGCCAGATAACACCAATAAGAGTCTAACATGTTACAATATAGTAACTACAATAACGGTCCCTACATACATAAGAGCACTAGTGTTACAACAAGCTTTACATGTAGGTACTCGTAACACCTTACAAGAAACAATACAGCAGGCTACTACATGTACACCTGTTATTACAAAAACGGTCCCTACCAACAGCACAAGCTTTAGATAACACCAATAAGACTCTAACATATTACTTGTTACTACAATAACGGTCCATACACGAGAACACTATTACATGTACAACAAGCTTATAAGGTAACACCCTACAAGAAACAATACAGGCTACTACACCTGTTACTACAATAACTGTCTACACATAAGAACAGTGGTGCTTTAGGTAACACCCTACAATACAGGCCACTTCACCTGTTACTAAAATAACGGTACCTACACAAGAGTGTTACAACAAGCTTTACATGTAGGTAACACATGTAGGTAGCTTTAGATAACACCAATAAGAGTCTAACATGTTACAGTACTTGTTACTACAATACAACGCTACACGACAACGCTAGTGTTACAACACACTTTATGTAACGTTACAAGAAACTCTACAAGAAACAATACAGGCTACTACACCTGTTACTACAATAACTGTACCTACACAAGAGTGTTACCACAAGCTTAAGGTAACACCTGACAATAAGTAAGAGGGCTGTTACACCTGTTAACGATCTCCACACAAGAGTGAAATAGAGTGAAACTTTAAACACCTGACAAGAAACACTTGTTGCTGCAATAACGATACACGAGAGCAGCAACAAGTTTAAGCTTCCTCCTCCCGACAAGAGGCAACACCTGTTTCTAGTATTTAAAAATGTACTGTTCTTAGTGGCAAATGTGCAGATCTTGGCACATTGGTGACAACAAATCCGTCTGTGTCCTCATCAGTGTTTGGACACAGTATCAACGATTGGCCGAAAGGCCGGGTGAGTGTTACTCCACCGTACAGTGAGGAATGTCGTGTAAAGTGCCTGTCCCAAGGTAGGGTATATCAGGGGATCGAACCCGGGACCATTACGCCACGCGATGCCACTGTTACTACTGTTCCTACAAAAAATTGACAACAAACTTTAGGTAACACCAAACAAGAACCAAACAGCGTTCTACACCCGTTACTACAATGACAAGGTCAGCTTTAGGTCCCTGGTAACACTCAAACAAGGTACAAGCAGGTTAGTGATTGTATTTTGTGTCTACAGCACATGTTCCTACGCTAGAGTGTTTTATGTCACACTAAGAGTATATGCTTTACCTTGAAAATGGTTTACGTTGAATGATGTACGCAAGTTGTAACTCAACTTAATTGTTAATTCACGCAAATTGTAACTCAAAAATACTCTACATGTTTTACCTAGTCGTCTAAACAAGGATCAGATTTAAACTACTGATGCGCGACTGAACCATCAGCATTTTGTTTTTGTTTCCCACGATATTCGACGAAGAAATCCAAACGTTTCACTTCAATTAAAACATGATGATGTAAAGGATAGTATGTTGTTTATTTGTAAACATGTAATGGATAGTATGTTGTTTACGTATAAACATGATGTAATGGACAGTATGTTGAATTCTTCTGTCGATGCGACAGATGAGTAGGCATACAGGTCATCATTTGCCGAGTTGTGTCCTCATGAGGAAATGAAGACCGATTTTCGACGCACAGGAGCGGTCACAGATCTGTATCTGTATAACAGGTATAACCGCCCTTTGGCGTAACAGACCAGCTTCACAGCCACGCGGCGCGGCGGCAGCTGGATACATTACACCGAACGGCTTGTTATACCTAACCCTTGGACATCTAACTCTAAACAATGTTTAAAGCTATCTAATGACAATGCCCCTACTGTACTTGGCGACAGCGAGTTCCACTCTGTGATATAGTTCTAGGAAAGAATGAATTTTTGAACACCTCAATCCTTGGTTGATAACTCTGGTACTTGAAGGCATGGCTATTTCTTGTTCTTTTCTGTGCTGGTATTAGGTGCTTAGTAGTTGGTACGTCCACCAATTTATAAGTCATTTTGTACACCATGCAGATGCGGCAATGGATAGTAACCACTTAAGTAACCACTTAATGAGACAGTTCTAAATTAAGTACGGACGTCATGACCTGTCCCTTTATCGGGAAGTAATGGTGACATATGCCTGCGCCGTTATCCCAATTAGTGCGTACCAGTCTACTTAATAACGTTAAGTCAACAAGGGCGTTAGTTTCTCTCTTTTCTTGGTTTCGCATATAAAATCGATAAACTGCTGAGGTCAGACTTCCAAACCGGGGCCCGACAGGGTAGCTTTCGGGAACGAAAAGTACTATATAAAAGACAACAAAACAAAAAGTTTAAAAGGTAACCATGAGTACTATTTGTGTATATTCCCGAAAAAACATTGATTTTTCGTTCATGTAAACAGCCCGGTCGGGCCCCGGTTTGGCAATATGGCCTCAGCATTAGGCGTAACTCACCAGTTTTGTATGGTAAGTACAAGCTACGATAGACCGGACTGTAAGGTTTGAACCACTCACAGTTTCGATACGTGTGGTGGGATCTTTAAATTGCTCTCCTTAAACATATGAGGCCTCCGCTTTACGTCACACCCGAGAGGACGTCCCTAACCGAAGATAGGTACT